AAAGCAACATAAGAGTCAGAAGTAAGATCCCTTACTGAATGCAGAAGGCTATCTAATTATGTATAATCCAGAGAAATCTTACAAAGTCATCTACCAGATACTGAGTACAGTTGACAGCAAAGATTGGCTCTCTGCTCCTTCTCTAGAGGAATAGAAAAACAAGTTAGGGATTACTTAGAAAACCTAGATGGTTTCAAGTTGGCAAGGCTGGATGGAATTCACCTTCAGGTACTGACAGAATTAGCTGAGGAAATTGCACAGCCATTGGCTACCCTCTGACAACTTGCAGAGACTGGGTGAGGTCCTGGATGATTAGAAAAGAGCAAATATGGAAGAGAGAACTATGCCACAGCTTCAATTTCTTCCCTTTAAGGAGGATCAAAGAAATTATAGATCAGTCAGCCTGACCGTCATACCTGGAAAGATCATAGAGCAGGTCCTCAAGGAATCTAATGCGAAATATCTAAAGGAGAACGTGATCAGGAACAGGTAGCATGGATTCAAAGAGCAAAGAATGCCTGACCAACTTGATTTATTTCTAAGACAAGGTGACAAACTCTGTATGGACGGAGACCTTTCCTTTCCTTTTGCAAAGGTATTTAGCACAATTCGCAGATTTGTTAGAATCTGACAGGCTGAGCTGTCAGTGCTTTTGCTACGGCCTTAAGCTTGCAACCTCTGGGCCGTCAACTGTGCGCCTAAGAGCTTGTGCCACCCCCGTCCCCCTTGACTTTAGCAAGGCTTTTGACATGGTCTCCCACAATACTCTCATTAACTAACTAAGGAAATACACTGGATAAGCAAACTGTATTTGAAGTGAATATATAATTGATTGGATCACTGTGCTCGATGAGGGTGGTCAAACACGGAAATGGGCTACTTAGAGAAACTGGAATTTCCTCTTGGGAAAATGTGATAAACAGCCTTCAACCATTCACATATTTGTTATAAAATGGATGGGGAGACTATCCTCTATGGCTGCAGGGGACAAAACAAGGAGCAATGGTCCCAAATTGCATCAAGAGAAATTTAGGCTAGATATCAGAATAATTCTCTCATTAAATTGGCTAAGCATTGGAACAGTCTATCTAGAAACATTTTCAAATGCAGGCTAGATGGACACTTGGCTGGAAGGGATAGTTTAGTCGGGATGATCTTGACTTTAGCAATGGGCCAGCTAGAATGTCTTCATATGAGGTCCTTTCCAGCCCTACTTTCCTATGATTCTGTGATCTCTGCCCAGGTCACTAAATTTGCTAGGTATAAGTCTGCCCTTGAAAAACATTTTACAGGAAGTGTTCTTGGCCAAGGAGCACAACTCATAGAGGAGAACTTGGACATAAGGGATAGAAGCATTTCCAAACTGAAACAATCGTTTTCAAGTATTTCAGTTTGAGGATATTCATTTGTTCCAATGAAAATTCAATGCTTTCCACAAATGCAAAATTATAATAGTTTCCCTGCCACCATCCAGTTTTCTATCCAAGCAGATTTGACAAACAATTTACCACATTAAATTTTATAAACTGTCGTTAGGTCCTTTGCTGGACACTCTGCAAACATCTTTCAGGCTCTAAGATCTGTATGTCCTGAAAGCTGGAGACATTAACTAGGCTAATAACACTAATATCATCTGCTATTACCCATAGACAATGCAGAGATAAAAAAATACTAAAAACATTTGACAACACTATATCTGTCTTTGGAACTAAATCATAGCTTAGCAATGTACAACACCATCCAGTCCAATCTGGTCCACAGAGGTACAGGGGCTGAGACATGGTCTCAGCTGCCCATTCAAGCCCTACCACCACTGTAGCCTTGTCACCATGGCTGTTCCACAGCAACAGTGACAGAGCTGTGTGCCAGCAGCCTCAAGTGGCAGGGGCTGATCAAGGAGGAAAGGAGAGATTCCCCAAGCAGCCCCCGCCACTACCCCCGGCAGCAAGGGTGACAAAGCTGTCTGTCAGCAGAGAACTTCAAAAGGGCTGCTAGTACCAGGAGACCTTCAAAAGGCAGCAGGGTGAGAGGGCTCTTTGCAAATCCCATGGGACAGCAAGGACACACTGGGAGGGGGAAGGGGAAGGAGGAAGAGGGTCTATAGCCCTCTATCAGACCCTGATAACATGCTTACAGATGTGTTCTGGCAGACGCCAGTTCTTATGCAGCCAAATTCATTAATGGATTTCAGTGGAAGTTCTGTCCAATGAGACTACAGAACTGTGTTTCACATAGCCTTCTAAAAATAGTTATAATCAAAAAAAGAAGCATTCATTTTAATATATTCATTCATATCACAGAGTCTAGGCAAAGTAGCAGGCCCATGCATAGGGGAAAACGCAAAAGCAGCAAGGATTAACAGACGTAGCGTAGCCTATGCAGGAGGCATCTTCCCTCTTTTGACCCCTCTTTTACTTGCTATAGAAGTCAAGGAAGTGCTCTCCTTGGATGCTCCCAGTTATTCCAGGCTATTTGTATTGCATTCTTTTCTACATCTGGCCACAAGCAATGATATAGAGCAGGTCACTAGGCAGTAGCTGAAGCTCCACTCTTGAAAAGAACCAATCCATACAGCTGCACATAGATCATTCATGCAGGAAAATGGAACAGCTCCCAAAAGGGCAGGTTTGGGGTTCCTTAGGAAAACTGCACTACAAGTTTCCCTTGATTTATGCAAATCCCATATATGCGAATTCGCTCTTATGTGATCACCCTTTTTCTATCCAAAATTCCTCATATGCAAGGTAAAAATCACTCTTATGTGACTGGGGCTCCACTTCTCCCCACTCACCCCAGCCCCTGGGCTGCACTGTGCTGGGGTGCAGGCAGGTGGTTATCAGCTGCTCCCAGGTCTGCTGCAGCAGCTGGGGTGAGTGGGAAGAAGCGGAGCCCCAGGAGATTCAGAGCATGGTGCAGCCCAGCAGCTACAGGCAGTTGGCGTTGGCTGCTCCTGCAGGGACTGGGGTGAGCAGGGAGAAGCAGAGACCCTGGGCTGCAGCAGGAACTGTGAGTGGGTGCAGGGGTGCAGCCCTTGCTGGTACATGTCCCCTGGGAGGGCTGTGGGCTGGGGGGCTGCCCCAGGGTCATGTGCCCCCAGATCTGTGCATGGAACAACAACAGGCTGCTGCTGCAGGCTGGGGTCAGCAGTGCCACCAGACCACTGTTGGGCAGGTTGTGGGGGGCTACAGCAAATTTTGGGGTGGTAGCAGGCCCCCTCCCTGCGCCACTGCCTGCCTTGAGCACCAGGAAGAGTCCAATGCTGCCGCCAGCCCCAGCCTTGCTGCAGGAATGAGGTGGTGGCACTGGGATGGGGGTTAGTGCCACCCCAAAATTCACCACAGCCCCCCCCCCCCCCCAATTTGCCCGCCAAGCACCAGGGAGAGCCCAGTGGCGCTGCTGGGCCCACCTTGAAGTGACAGCCTGCTGTTGGCCTGCACCCCTCCAGGAAGAGCCTGTTCTCTGGGAGAACATGAAATCTAAAAGGCAGGTTCCCTTGATTTTTATGTGGTAGATTTCATGTAGTTCTAAATTACAGATACTTTATTTGATCCAGGAGAACAATTAATAATTGTCTAATCTTGCACAGTTCAGTGGGATCATTAGTAAGATAGTTTCTAAGTTTAGTGCAAGTTTAGTCTCTCCCTGATGAGTTTGTAGACAACCACAAGATCACCTCTCAGCCTTCTCTTGTGGAGGCTGAAGAGGTTCGTGTCCCACAAAATCAGTCCTTATAGGTTTTTTTCTGTAGGCCTTTAACCAGATGGGTGGCCCTCCTCTGAACCCATTCCAGGTTATCTACATCCCTCCTGAATTGTGGCACCCAAAACTGGACACAGTACTCCAGCTGTGGCCTGACCAATGCCGCACAGAGGGGAAGCATCCCCTCCCTAGACCTGTTTGTGATGCACCTACTTATGCAAAAAAGAGTGCAGTTAGCTTTACTTATTACCTCATCAGACTGGTGACTCATGTTCATTTTGGAGTCTACTACAACTCTGAGATACCTTTCCGCAGTTGTGCTACTTAGAATGGTACCTCCCAGGCTATAGGAGTGTTGATGATTCTTCCTTCCTAGGTGCAACACATAGCACTTACCTTTGTTAAACTGCATCCTATTCTGTTCTGCCTACTTCCCCAGCCTCTCCAAACCCACCTGGATTCGCTCCCTGCCCTCTAGTTTGCTTACCAACCCCCATAGTTTGGTATCATCTGCAAACTGGGACAGGGTGATTTCTACTCCCTTGTCCAAGTCACTAATGAAGATATTGAACAGTACTGGTCCCAGGACAGAGCCTTAGGGGACTCCACTGCCCACATTTCTCCAAGTAGAAACTGACTCATCCACCACCATGCTCTGGGTGCGTCCCATAGGCCAATTTTCCACCCACTGGACTATGTAATAATCTGAATTGCAACTGTTTAGTTTATTTATAAGAATTTGGTGCGACACTGTGTCAAAGGTCTTTTTAAAATCTAAGTAAATAACATCTACCACTATTCCTTCATCCAAGCAATCAAATCTTCCAAATCATCAGGGGGTTAGAAAAAGTAACATGAGGTCACTTCCAGCCCAGGTTTTTTAGGATTGGGAAATTTAAAAGGTTCCCTTCTAACACAGTAATTTAAAACTAAACAAAAAACAAAACATTTGTGTGCGATATGTTCTACATTTCTCTTCACTTATACTTAATATTAAAGATGTTATTCTTAAAGCAGAACTTTGTTTCAGGGAAGTTTATTTGCTCCTGCTGCTTATTTCCTGTATCAATTTTTTGACAGAAGAAATTGATTTCAGTTAAGAAAAACAGTTTCAGCTGAATATTAGTAAACAGATATTACTAGTAAACAGATTAGAATAATTAATCAGTAAAACACGGAAAAATATGCATCAGCCCATAACCATCTAGGATATTCCTTTCCTCTGAAATACCAAGACAAAGAAATAAAACAACAGAACTATTACTTGGGAAAGAGGATACGGTTAGTTAGCAGTACTTTACCTGTCTAGGTCAGATGCCTGTCTTTCAAAATTTGTGAGAATCCTTAAAACCTGGACTTCTTGACTAAGGAAGCAAGGTGGCAGTAGTCCATGAATATTCAACTGCTGTCTCTCTTCCAAAGTAAAAGCCATGCCCTATGTAAAAATCACATGATGTTACTTGTAAGATATCTAAGGAATGAAATCAAATATCAAAACATTCAAGTAATTGGGGGGAAAAAATACTCCTCTATCCTAGGAGTTAAGGCACCATCATTTCTTCTTTAGACATTAATGCATTATGTAATAGCAAATCTGAGCCAAAGTTTTAAAAATGTATTTTCATATTTTGAGATTTTTGGAACGCATTTCCATAATGCAGCAGCTCTCTCTCAGAATAAATCAGGGTGGGCAAAATACAGCCTGCAGGCCACATCTGGCTCACCAGGCACTTCCATCTGGCCCGCAGTGCCCACCAATGAATTGTACCCTGCCCACCCCTTCCACCCACAAGGGTGGGAGCGAGGTGCCCATATATACACCCCCTCAACATATCCTATTGTTCCTCACTCCCACCTTCATGAGCAAAGGGCCTGGCCTGACCAACATGCGGCTTCGGCCAGGGCTGCTGGTGCCGCTACAGCAGTCACCAGGGGACCTCCTCGGCTCCCCTGGTATCCCGCTCACTCCAGCAGCAGCAGGCAGGGGCACTCAGGTCACCTGTTCCCGTCTCCAGCCAGTGACGTGCATCGCAGCAAGAAGGGCAGCCCACAGCTGTCTGTATCGCCAGTGCTCCTCCACTGTGCATGCGCAGCCTCCACACTCGCATAGCATGGGAGGGAAGCCCCACACACTGGAGTGGCTGGGATGGTGAAGTCAGCAGGCTCCAGCTTTCCTCCTGTGCCCAGAGGCGACCCAAGCAGGGTGCGGGGTCCAGGGCAAATTAGCCCATGCAGGGCCCTGCCCCAGCCCCAGAGAAGCTGTTGCTGCCATTGGTATCAACGCAGGGGGGTAGCAAGCGCAGAGCCACCGCTCCACCCGGCTCTGAGGGGGCCCCCCCAAAGTGTGGGGTCCGGGGCAGTCCTGGGTGCACGTGGAAATAAAGCACTTGGAGCAATAAATTCTGGCATAATGTGTCTCAGTTTATTATTCCGCGTTAATATGCGCATGTAGATGTGCCCTCTGGATAGATACAGGCAACCCCTGCTTAAAGCTGTTTCACTTAGCGCTATTTTGCAATAACACTCATTTGAAATTGATACCTGATTTCACTTAGCTCTCAGCGAGTTTCATTATAAAGTTCATGGTCGCCATTTTGGGTCATTAAAAACAATTGCGTCACCAACTTGGGTCATCAAATACTTTCAGTTTTGCTTAATGCTCGTTTTACTTAATGCTCAGTTTCTCAGCAACCAATTAAGAGCATGTCGCAGGGCACTAAGGTGCCTGCTCCTATTAGAGTAGAGGTTGCCAAGGGAGGGAACACAAAGGGCCAGATAAAAGCCCAGATGCAGGTTGCCATGACAACTGGCTAATGAGGGTTTTGGCTACACCTGCAGCTGGTTAGCTGGCTGGAAGAGACAGGGCCCTGGGCCCATATAAACCCTAGGGCTGGGACCAGACAGTTCAGTTCCCTACTGGCAGCCAGAGAGGAAGGAGCCTCCAGGGAGGAAGTGCCCAATGACGCAGCAACAACCTAATATGCTGCACCCAGGGCTTATGGGGCTCTATGAGCTCCCGCAGGTACCCTTGCTCACTAGATACTTAGTACCGGGGATGAAGTTCAATGCTTTTAAAAGGGGCAGAGCACACCCTTGTCTTTTGTATTACATTATAACCCAGGGGCTTATGTTTTGTTTGCTGTGTCATAACAACTGGTGGTTTGGGTGAGGCTATCTGGGGAAGAAGGAGGCCTCATTGGGGGCCCACTGCAGTGTGGGGATCCTGGTGCTGAGATGGGGCTGCGGAGAGCCTGGTGCAGAGACAGGGCTGCAGAGACCCCAGTGAGGACAAGGGGCCAAATTATAATGAGGCCTAGGCAAGACAACGCCAGTACCATCTGCATGGCTTGGGGCGTGGTAAAGGGGTGGTTGGAGCAACGCATATAGCCCATAAGGCTGGGTTGTCCAGGGACATCTATTATGAAACGGGACTTACGGGGCCCAGGGAAATCCACAGGACCGTGCTCAGATAGGCTTAAAAGCATCCTCCCTACATCAATTATTTCAACGAGACGTGGCGGGTGAGAATAGAAGGTGCCCATCAGGCCAAACTGGCACAGTCGAGGGGCCTTGGGGGTAACACAGCCATTCTTAAGGACCCCATCCCATGACAGAGTGCTAAGCAAGGGTTTCCTGTAAAGTGAGCTTAAGGGCTATTAAATGAAGAGTTCTGTTTACTTTATAAATCAGAGTTGTAATGAACCTCAGTGGCCATCCAGCCCAATCTCTGCAAAAATACATGATTTGCTATTCCTTAATCATTGCACAGATCTGTACCCAAGCTATTTTTGAAACCCACCGATGAAAATTTCAGAGGTTCCATAAGCAGCTTTTTCCATTGTTAAGCTGATCTTACAGTTTTGAAGATATTTTTCTCAGATTTAATTGCTTTGCTACAGTTTACATACAAGCAAATTAATTTCTTGGTTTTTGTATTATATTTTAAAACCATAACAATTAAGAATCAGAAAAAAATGCACATTAACTGTACAAGTAAAACTGAATTAACATCACAAACAATAAAAGAAAAAAGTAGGGGGAGGGAAGAGGAAGGGATAGAAGAAAAGAAAAGAGTGTGCAGTGAGCAATGATCTAGCTACCAAAATATTCTGAGAATTTCTTCCAAATTGCATGAAATGTTTTGAAGCAGTTAAGCCTAATAAACATGACTCTCAAGATATACCAGCTGTGCCATGTCCTTCTACTAGATTTCAGCCTTCGGAGATGTGCTACTTCTCCAGTGCAGCAATATAAATTTTGCGCACTGTTAACAAGGCCCACTATAAGAATGCAATTTAAAAAGGATTCCATTTGAATTCCTTGGAGATATACTGAAGAGAAGACATTTACCACAGGTATCCGGTGCTGTGTTCAAAGCCATGTTAACTCTAGTTATAATTTCTTTCCAAAAATAATTCATAGTAAGGCATAATCAAAACATGTGATGCCTTGCAGGCAGTCTTGGTCACATCTCCAACATGTATCTACTGGCAATATAACTGAAGTTTCAAGTTTAGTGAGAGCCCAATGCAGACCAAAAAAAAAAAAAAAAAAAAAAAAAAAGATTGTTTCATGAGCTGAAGTTCAAGATAAATTGTTAAAAGTTCAAATATCATGAATTACTAATTTCCACTGTGATTCTGTCATCTAGTTATCTAGGTCTCCATTCCATTTCAGTCCTAAATAGTCTGTATCTGATCAGTTATATGACATCATATATTCATAGATTGATAGCTCAGAATGAGGGAGAGAAGCAGATTCCAAGGCAACACACACAGCGCGCGCACCAGGAGTGTCTGCTATATGATAACAAGAAATATTCACCTGAAGCTTAATACGATTCTTTAAAAACTTATTTTAAAACCCACAACACATTCTGTCAATTGCTTTTAAAAAGCTTTAATCTCAGAAACAGCAATTCTTCCATGTGTTTTACATTTCTTAAGGTATGTATTATAATTTATTTTGGACAGTACTACAAGTGTGTGTGTGTGTGTGTGTGTGTAATATATATTATATATAAAAAAAAAAAGCTCACACAGTACATGGATAAGCAGCAGGGAGAACACAGTAGTTCTTAAACATTAACTTCCATATGCTCTTTTTCTTTGCCACAGATGGTTTTAGAAAATGGAATTTCTTATCATGAATATTTAGTTCCTTTTCTCTAAGGAGAAACGAGAGGAATTCATACAAAAAAGCCAAACCCCTATGCAATGACTTAATGGATGAGAGAAGTCTTTTTTTCTAGGTCAAATGTATATGCTGTATCCTGTGTATGGGATATGGCAAGTTTGAACCCTGTTTTGCTGCCCTGTCTCTTGGCTTAGCTCTACTTTTCCCAACTTCCCCCTGTTAATATTAATAGTGCTGTTTCATGGATCATCCAGCAGAGAGTGCTCCAAGTCTAGTTTGGCTTGCATGCTTCATTATCTCCTAGACTTTATGATGATGCATCTCTGTCCCTTCAACTGAAAAAAAACCCACACGACACAAACATGCTTTATACATAACCCTATAAGCATCATGTGCCACGTATCAGTCCATTTTGCAGCTGTTATACTAAAAAAATGGAACTGGATAGGAGAATAATAGAATAAAAATCTGAGGTGCAGACATGATAATATAACTCTAATACCTTTATTCTAATTTTTCTTTAGTCAATACTGTTAATAAATTAAGGTTTTCTATTAATTTATTACTTACAAAATAATGCCTGTATGGTAGTGACACAGTATGTGGAATTTGAGTTCCTTTGATTAGCCAGTTAGTCTGTAATTTTTATTTAAATTATTTTCTCCATTAATACTTATTTAAAAACTTGAACATTTCTTGAGCACCAGTGCTTTGGTTAACATGACATTTGAAGCACAGCTGCCCAAATTTATCTTATTCAGTCCACATTCCTAATTCTTACTTTACTGTTTCATTCCCTTCATATGTTGTGGCTTTTGAGAACTAATGAAAGCCTGCTCCAGGATCCTCTATGTTCTCTGTTCCAGCTTTCTGGGAAGCAAAAGATATTTCCCATACATTAACTATAAAAAAATGGTTTTCTTCTTCTTGAAGTAGACCCGTCAGTTGTTGCCAACTCATGGCAAATGAACGTTTACTTATTTCTGGATTCTGTTCTCCACTACTTGCTAATAGCCTCCTCTTTAGTAATGACTTGCATTACCACATACTGTATGAGAAATCTTGGAGGTAGACATTTCTGCTACATATAAACATTTGGGCAGGTTAAGTCGGATTCAAAATGACCATCTGATTTAAACTTAGCTTGTCCTGGTGCCGACTCTACACTCGCAAATCTGGTCTCAGTGACTGGCAGTCAGTTTAAACCTGTACAGAAGTTTCATGCGCACAAACCAGTCTAAAAATTGCAGAACCCGGTTAAGATAAACCTAGATACATGTAGTATCAAACTTATTTGAT